TGCTCCATGAAGATAGAGAAACCAAATTTGAATGTCAGAAAAAAAAAATTTGTGTGTGTTAAAAATGTTACTACAAAATCTTGGCATTACTTGTCTTTACTCTCTGAAATATAAAAATATTTTTTTATGTATATTATAACATTTATGTTTTTCTATCAGTACTGGCTTGATCATGAAAAACCCATGTGTCGTCAGAAAGGCTTGTCACTGATAAATCCTATCATGCATTTTTGTGTGAAGTTCTACACACCAGATCCTGCTCAATTAGAAGAAGAATTTACTAGGTAATTGAGGAGTTTTTTGTCAGTACATTTATTTACACAAATGTGGGACTGATAATAGGTTGTGATAGCGGCTGATGAAAGTAAATTATGTCATTTTATACATGTATAAAACTTGTGTTAAGTTTTTATTCTGATTATGCTTTAATAAGAAGTTATTAAGTAATGAGAAATTAAAACAAGTAGATGTATCTTCTATGTTTGTACTAATCTCTATAAGCAGAAACTTAAGAAAAATAAACACACAAATGTTTTAAAGTCACACTTGTAGAAAATTGTACAAGAAAAAGAAGTTCAAAATATGAGCATCAGAAATCTTGCCATAAATATAAGTTATATTAAACTTACAGACTCTTAATAATGATTACTGAATAAATAAAATGGGTTTATATCAATGTTGTGAAATCCATGCTATATCTAAATAACATTAACATTGTACATAAAAGTTTAATGATATATCAGAGGGTTTCGTAATCGTTAAACTGTAATAAAGAAAATACATTTGGAACAAAATACATGTTCTTTAGCATCTTACTTTGGTTGTGTTAAACTACTGTTCATATTTGTAACTAATCTTCAGTAATAATACGAGTAACATTCATTGTTATTTAGGTATTTGTTTAGTCTACAAATAAAGCAAGATCTAGCTCAAGGAATTCTTCTATGTAATGACAATACTGCTGCTCTGATGGCCTCCTACATTGTCCAAGGTGGGTCTTAGCTAAGTTTATAATAATGAACTATGATATTGTTTAAATCAGTCACTAATAAAACTATCTTGAACTTATCCTTGGTTAGTGAACTGTTCTCTCTTTTTTTTGTTTTCTCTCTATTTATTAATATTAGTAAAACAAAGGGGTTTTTTACTGCCTAAACTGTCAGTGTTTACATGCAGAGATATTTTATACTGCAGAAAATATCATTTGAGGCCTGTCTGTTGCACAGAAGCTAAAGTACGGTTGTTGTTTTTAACCACACACTAATGTTCCGTGTGAGAATGAGATGGACTTTAACTTTACTCTTGCTTATGCTACAAGGATCTTTCCAAAAGCCTTGTAAAATTGTTTATCGGAGATAAACTGTATATTCCATTTATTTATGTTGCATTCTACACCTGTCTAAAAAGGTTTCAAAATATTATTTAATGTGCAACACATTTTTTCAGATCTACCAAAATCTCATTAAGATTTCATATGTATTCAATGAGAAGGGAATTTGAAGATAATAACAATATTAATGTGTTATTTTGTTTGTGTTACAGTATGATAATATCTGAATGTTACAATATGATAATATCTGAATGTTACAATATGATAATAGCTGAATGTTACAGTATGATAATATCTGAGTGTTACAATATGGTAATGTCTGAATGTTACAATATGATATCTGAATGTTACAACATGGTAATATCTGAATGTTACAATATGGTAATATCTGAATGTTACAACATGGTAATATCTGAATGTTACAACATGGTAATATCTGAATGTTACAATATGGTAATATCTGAATGTTACAATATGATAATATCTGAATGTTACAAGATGATAATGTCTGAGTGTTGCAATATGATAATGTCTGAATGTTACAATATGATAATGTCTGAATGTTACAATATGATAATATCTGAATGTTACAATATGATAATAACTGAAGATAAGATGAGGATGAAACATTTGGCAGTGTGCTGTAAAGTGATTAAATTATGCTTTTATAATGATGTGTTGAGTTTTATTATAAAACTACCTATCTTCTATCTGTACTTGTTGAAGTTTTGAAGAACATGTACGATTCTTGTTTCTATATAGACATTACTAATATATCGAGGAAAAAAAGTGCCAAGAAAAATTAAACAAATGACCAAAACTATATCATTTTCAACTGTTATTTGGAAAGCTTAATTTCATCTGTGCAAAAAGACCCATTTGATCTACATATTTTTGTTTTTACTTTTTAAAGCATCATGCAAAAACATAAAATTACATAATTTCTGTATTCAATTAAGGGGGTACTTGATTTTGTTTCATCAAGATTACAATAAAAACTTCAGAGAGTTCATTTCTTTACAATGACAACTGACTAGTACCTTTATTTACTTACAAAAGTATTAAAACACTATAAATTATATAAAAATATCTTCAGTTTGCTAAAAGCAACAAATGGTCATCCATAGAGTTCATCAAGAAGACTTTAGTACTAACACATATTGAGTACAGTTTTAGACTGTAACACATTGCAGAACTCAGCAGTACATGTAAATTACACATTTTCTTATTTATTGTCTTCATATATACGTATAATTAATTTTGTTTAGTTAATTTTATAATTCAAATATGTCAAATATGTTAAAACAAATTTAGTACAGACAAGATGCATAAAACATAGGAGGCAACTGAAAATTAACCTGATAAACAGGAAACATCAATCAGCAATGCATGAATGGTTTTGTACTAAACTTTCCTTATTTAGCCTAAAACTGTATGGTAAATGTTTAAAACACTAACTGTTCTCTACTCATTCTAAAACTATATTTTATTTTTTTACTAAAACAGAAGTTGTTTTATAAATTCTGTCACAGTACTTCATGCTGGAATTCTGAAACATTAACATGCAAACTCAGCTTTTTCTATAGATTTAAACAGACTCTCCTTTCAAAGATGCATGAACACCTAGAACAATACTGTGATTTGTTTACACCTGACCCTTATATTTTACAGTGTATAAAATTTACAAAAGTGCCTGTAAATATTTTGAAGATTGTTAATCTTATTTAGCCAAAAATGTTGTGAACAGCGAGGGTACCCAATCGATGAAAAATGCATTCTAATCATTATGAGTAAGAATAGTATATATAATTAGCTATACTCGTTATCAAATTGATTTTTATTTTTTATGTATGTAGGTTAACTTGCTCAGATTGGAAGTTAAAATTAATAACAATATATTATTCAAAAATGAGTAAAAAATATTATTTTATTAAAAAATAAAATATGAAAATACAGAAGTTTCAATGGGCTGATTTTTCTCAAGTGCAATTCTGAGTTTTCGTTAAGAATTTGTTTTTCATAAAATTCATTTTCAGTTCATTTATTGTATTAGTTGTGTGTAAGTACATTTTTATTAGCATTTTTTCAGAAGAACTTAACGTGTTAAGCTGTTTGAATTTATTTTGTAAATATATATTTTTATATTTATTACTTTTTTTTACTTTTGTAAATAAATTGCAAATAAATCCTTCATTATTGCTAAAAGTTTGGAAAATATTATTGAAGGTATATAAATTGTCTTGTTTGACTTTATAGCTGAAAGTGGGGATTTTGTCCCTGATGATTATCCTGATCACACATATCTATCAACATTCAAGTTCGTACCACATCAAGAAGCTGAGTTTGAAAAGAAAATCATGGAAAACCACAAGAAACACATGTAAGGATATACCTGGTTCTTTTCATTGCTTAACTTTTGATTGAAGTAAGGCATCATGTACGTCATAGAATTTAAAGTTATCCTGAAATGTAATCAAAATGCTCTAGTGTTAATACTTTAAAAATGTAATTACGCCCCATGTAGTTTATTATAGAGGCACAGAATTTAATCTGTTAATTTTAACGTATATTTTTCTATAATAAAGATACTAATCTTACAAAAGAGAGAGAAAGAGATACAAACATTACATATATGTTTAAAGCTTGTATTTGTTATGATATTATACCATGTCCTTGTTAGTAATTTCTGTGACATGTTTATTCACAAAAAATCTGAATGGAATGGTTTCTTTAGAGGAGACAAAGGCCACTAACAATTAATAATCTAATGAAACTGGTGATGGGCACAGTACAGATAGCCCATTGCGTATAACTTTTTGCTTAATAACTAAGAAATAAGAAAGCATACAAATGTCCTTTTAATATGCAGTCATGTTATGAAGTAAGTGTGATGTTAAAATCTACTCTAGAGAATAGGTTTTTAATAACTTCAATATATATATATCTTTTACTTATTGAACCAATTTACATTTAATGTTTTGTTACCAAAAAAAGTTAATGTTAACGAGGGCATGTATATTCTTTACATTTTTATATCTTTTGGAAGTAAATATTGCTTAATATATATATATATATATTTTGGTAATGTTAGAAATGTGTTATATATTTCAAGCATTTGTAATAAATGATTTTATTTGTGTCTCATAGAGGACAAACCCCCTCTGAAGCTGATCTCAACCTTTTAGAGACTGCTCGAAGGTGTGAGTTATACGGAATTAAGATGAACCCAGCTAAGGTACTAGTTTAACTCTGGATTTCAACTTACCAAACATATTAATAATTTGAGAAGTGTATTAACAGTAAGTTTTATTTTTTTTTTAATTGTGAGTAAATTCACAACAAGAATTGTATAAAGTTGTGGTTCTCATCCTGTGGTCTAGGGACCCCTAGGAGTCCATGAGTCTTCTAAAGGGGGGGATGGGTCCACAATGGTAAAGATTGATTTTTCATATTATTGTTTAAAAAAAGAAATGACTATGTTTGACTAAAGGAAAATAATGTTTATGTTTTTTTATTTCATTAACTTAATATCTGTAAGAGCTGCTTTTATACTCTCTAGAATAAATTTTTGCCAAGAGGTCATCTTTGGTTTGTGGAGGAACCCATGAAATTAAACTGTTGAGAACCACTGCTCTAAAGATATCTAACAGTTTTGTAAAGTTACTTGTCATTCAGACTTTAAAACAGAAATCATGCTTTCTATTTCTTATCTTTCATTTTGAATGTTTTTTTAATTATGAATATAAAATAGCTTTTAATTTGTTTATTAGGATCAGGAAGGAGTTCCTTTAAACTTGGCTGTTGCACACATGGGTATTGTAGTCTTCCAAAATATCACAAAAATAAACACTTTCTCGTGGGCCAAAATACGAAAGTTGAGTTTCAAGAGGAAAAAATTTCTAATTAAGCTTCATCCTGAAGGCTATGTAAGTATAATCTTGTCAACAGTTTCTTCAACACACAAACATGGTCTGTGGTTAGAGCATAAACATGTAAATCTGTCTGTTGATCACTGTTTATGCTCGGCTTGTTTCTTTTTCCATGCTCTTTTCCAAAGTTATTAGTAGAAGTAATTGTCTCAATATGTTTAGCATTTTATTTATTCAGTTTTTTACCTCCTACATCAAAGGTTAATGAAGGTTATGTTTCACCCCTGTGTGTATGTGCGTGTTTGTCATCAAGATTTCTCGAAAACAGTTCAGTGGACTTGAATGAAAGTTGGTATACATTTATACTATGGCCTAACTTAGAATTGTTTAGTTTTTGGAGGGTCCAGGTCACGATCACAGCAAAGTCATGAAAATTCAAAAAATCCCTATCTATTAACATGGGGATGAATTTTTCATACCATTTTTGCTCAATAACTCAGTAATAAATGATCGAATTTTGATGAAACTTGGTGGACATATGTAGAAAATTATTCCTCATTATCCTGCCAAAAACGGTCCATGTCCTTTGATAACAATGGACATATGGACACGTTTTGTATTTTTTGAGAGTCAAGTATGATTAATGCTGTGTGGCAGAGTTATGCATTCTACTGAGTGCCCCTCTAGGTTTATGTAACTAATATAAACAAAGTTGCATAGAGCATGAAATCTGGAATGTAATAAAATCATATACTTGTATTATGTTCGCGTGAACGTTTTTAGATTTTCTATTATATATTGATCTTAAGTTGAAATTGAAATATTCTTAAGATCTGTAGTCTCGTTTCTTATTACTTATTGTTTGTGTTCTTTGTATTTTAGGGCTATTACAAGGATACCGTTGAGTTTTACTTTGAAGGAAGAAATGCATGCAAGAATTTTTGGAAGAAATGTCTGGAAAATCATGGGTTTTTCAGATGTACTGAGGTCCACAAAATTCCACGTCAACGAACGCGGATTTTTAGCAGTGGATCTTCTTTAGGTTAGCTTTGAACTGGAAATCACTGTTCATTCTTAAACTATACGAGTTCTATGGTGTTAAACGTAGTCATTGACATTAGATATTATACAAAACACTTACTGTTTGAGTTTTTCTATCACTAGATACAATAATTAAAATACTGTTTGATATAATTATAATAAATTTAGCCTTGTATTGAATTAGCATTGTATAAATGCTAATGTATTGTTATATAATTATAAGTAATATTATAGCACCTGTATAATTAATGTTCTAAACAATATTTTGAGAAAATGGATTGATGTATTATTATTTGCATCAGTTTTTATCTTCTGGTATATTTTGTACAGTAGCTAGACACTTGTTGCTGCAGTGAAAATTGGACTTGATTACCTATCCAGGTTTTAGTGTAGACCTTTTGTAATAAATATAAGCATAAATGAGCAGTTCATTTATTTGTTAAAAATAACATTTAAGTGTTTGGCTTCAAGTATGTTATATACACTGTGCTGAAATTTGAGGTTAAACAAATTAGGTATAATCACTGATGACTAGAGCTGGACGATTAACTTGATTACCTGTTAGTACCTATTACATCAACTAGTGTGATGTAAAGTAATCCAAATTAATTTTAAGTCTATTAATGTTACCAGAATAATCAACTAATCAGAATTAGTATTTCTAACTATAATTATTTTGAATTATTCCGACTATCCAAATCTTATATGAGAAAAATTGACGTATTGATTATAATCAGTTATTGAACCTAACGATTAATTGATGACACTGCTTTAGATGCAACAGCTGTTTTTCTTGTTGTTATTGCACAGCAACAGTAGAGCTTTTCTAGGGAATTATATTTCATATAATTAATATATAGAGATCAATGAATGATAATAGACAACCAAGGTAATGTTATATTAAAATCTTGCTACATGCATATGTGATACCAAATTCTACTGAGCTAAATGAATAGATGTAACATTACTTAAAATATTAGGCTAGAGTGACCTTTAGTATCCTTTCTACTATTAACAATAATCTTATAATAGGTGATTTATACCAAAATAATTATTGAAAATTGAATACAATTTGATAGTTAGTTAGATTAAATGACACTAATTGAAGTCATTTAGTGATTTGGTAATTTTGAACTTCCTGTGAGAATTGTTTTTCCACTACTGAGAACACTTAAAGTAGTGTTCAACTTCACCTTACCACAAGTTCTGTATGATTAAACATCAGCTATTTAGCAAGTCAGATCCTTTAAAGGTTTTAAGATGTACTAATTAAAAGGTTGAAGGTTATTCACAATATTCTCAGATGATGATCACCTTTGTAAAACTAAAAGAAATTATTCATATATCTTTTCAGATATAGTGGGCGCACCCAGAAACAAATATCTGAATATGTCAGAGAAAACTTTGTGAAGAGGCAACCCTTTCAAAGGTAAAAAAAACATGGTGGGAGTATTTTCTCTAGATTTGATATCCTGTAACTTATTCAGTATTATACAAATCTAATAATTTGATATATACATTTCAAAAGAATAATATAAAAGAACATTGTAGGAGGTCACTAAAGTGACTACTTGTCATAAAGCTCAGTGTGCTAGGTATAAAATGGCTGGAAAAACATCATTTCTGAAATCTCTCTACATTTTTCTTTTCCTCTTTATTTGTACATGATAGCAGAAGCAGAATTTAGAATTCCTGCTTGGGTGACAGTATATTAACCTTATCGCTACGGGCATCCTTTACTGCACATGTCACGAGGTTTCAAAATTGTATTAATGTATTTTTTGTTTGTTATACCAATTAATGTAGCATAAAATCTTAGCTAATAATCCATATTTTGATAGTATACAAGTTTTAAGGCAATATTTTAAAAAATCCTACATTTCTGTTGGTGTGACACATTTTGTATAGGCATCTCCTCTTCTCTAATTTTATCCACCACCTCTTCCAAAATGTACGAAATTCAGCATAAATTACTCACTATAAAATTGTCATTGTTCAGATAAACCATAATTTTTGTAGCCTTCAATTTTGTTTGGTTACAGAGACATCAAATAGAAAATCAGAACCCTCTTGCCACACCCACTTGTCACATCCTCTCTTTCAGGATTTGTTAATAGTTATCTCTTATGTTTAATTCTATATTATCTATAATCAATAGGCCAAGGTTTTCATCTATCAAATGATGTATATATATAACATTGTTTTCTGAATGGAGAATTGTCAATTTCACTTTTAGTACAAGATTCATTCCCTCGGGAAAGATAATGACTAGCTTGAATGATTTTGTAATGGTTCTTGTCACATAGTTAGAAAACCAGAAAAATTGTGATAGTTAGGGAAAGTTGTCTATGTTTTGCATGTTATTTTTCTATGTTCTTTGGCACATTATTTAATTAAATAAAAATTATTTAGTGCATTACTACCATTAGTATAAAAAAGTAGGGTTAAATGTCATCAACAATCAACAGCAAAGAAAAGAAAAGAAGACTCGGTTAAATACTTTATTTCTTGTTTTTCAGTGTTCATTCTTTATTTATTATTATAAAAGTAACTAAAATGTAAAAATAGGAATCTCTTTAGGTTAGTTATGGTTATATTAAGTAAAATAAATAATAATATAATAAAAATGTTTCACAAGGCATACACAGGAGCAGTTCATGGGTAAGGTAATTTAACAGTGTAACATCAGCTCCACATTTCTCAAGTTATTTACAACTTATAATAGTGCGAATAGTAGTAGTTAGTTAATTATAATTGAATGTCTACTGTTACGAGTTTAAAGCTACTTAGGATAAACGAATGTAGTTTCGTGTTACTATTTGAAGTCATTCTAGGAAGAAAAAAATGTAACTTAAATTTATTTAGATTTTTTTTTATGGTTACAAGGTCAGTCAAATTGACCAACCTTGTATAGAGTTACGG